TCTTTCGCAAAACCACCTAATTTTGGAACAAATACATCAAGGACGATGGCTTCAATAGTTCCACTACTAAACGTTCAAAAAAAAAAAAAACCCTCGATTATTGGGGAATTTGCATTTTATGTAGTTCAATGGTTATGATTTTATTATATCAATCAACCATTGTATATAACCATTATGTGTTGTTTGATAATAAGAAATTAAATAGCAAAAACGTGTTTGGTTGAAAAAAATTAAAATAAAAATGAGAATAAAGAATAAATAATAAAAATATAAATATAAATTAATCATAATTTTATTCTTACAAGGAGGAGGAGGGAAAGGTTGCCATGGTAGTAATATAGTATACTAATAACAATAGTATATATAACAATAGTATATCACCCCAATAAGAGGTGATAGTGGAAAGATAGTGATGGTAGCAATAAATAAAGAATGATGATATTTTTTTTCACAATATTTAATGATATTTTTTTAATAATAATTATTATTCATTTTAAAATTTATATATTAAAAATTTTAAATTTTATTTTGATTTGTTATTATCATTCTGAAAATATTATTAGAATGAAAATATCATTTTAATTTTTGAATTTTTATTCTTATTTCGTATTTTCATTTCGAAATTTTTATTTTTGATAACCAAATTACACTTTATTTTAATATTTTTAAAATGATATATAGTAGAATACATGCATTATGCAAGATAGGATAGAAGGATCAATTAACTATTATTATTTAGTATTGTTATTCTACTGCCTTATGTACTAGAGTTAAAATGAATAAAGATTTTTTTTTTGTATGTATATATAAATTACTTTGAATACATCAAACTTGTATATAAAGATGTTTTTTTAATTACTCGAAACCATGATTTATTATTAATTGGCATAACTAATTTGATAATCTTTTTTTTTAAAAAAAAGATTATCAAATTAGTTATGCCAATTAATAAATACATCAAACTCGTATATAAAGATGTTTTTTTAATTACTCGAAACCATGATTTATTATTAATTGGCATAACTAATTTGATAATCTTTTTTTTTTTAAAAAAAAGATTTACGTATTTCTGCCTACTGATCATGCTACCAGGACAGGACCAAGAATTTTTGCTTGACAAGGTATATGAAAAAAAGAAAAACAACATTAAATAAATTAGACCATTCAAGTAACTAACAACATTCTAAGTAGATTGATTAGTCAAAATCAATCAAATTGACCTATATCCAATCGAACCTAAATTACTAGTTCAATTTTTCTAAACTTTCTACCCATCACAAAGCAAATCTAAAGAATTCTTTTTTAAAAATTACAAAGCCAATATTAATCACCCATCGCATGTGATCAATAGTTTTAAAAGCCAAAATAAAAACCCACATCTCAAACCCCATTCATGCAACTTTTCTCTATTTCTAATTGAAAAATCAGATCTGATTTATACGTATATATAAAAAATCACAGCTCAAATTCATTTGAGAATTTGAGAGCGAGAGGGATGGGTGTCAGAATGATGTCCCAGGGAATTAAAGAAACTGAGATGGTTTTGGGGATCTTTAAGGAATTGACAGATCGTCGAGTCGAAAAAGTAATAAATAATTTTGGAACAAGAAGGATTAAATTATCTATTTCTAAAATCACACGACTTAAATACGCAGAACAAAAGGGTGCAGAGATAATTACCTTTTGTAAGAAATTACTAAACACTTATCTGTCATATGATTTATGGAAAGGGTACGAAAACATTCTACTTTTCACGCTTATATATATATAAAAAAGGATTTTCACTGTACATGTATGGAGATCAAAACTTAAATCACGAATGAAATTAATCAAATATAGACAAATTGAAAACATTTTAGAGTTTTTTTCCTTACTATTTGAACAAAGATCTTATAAGCTTTTTATTTTGTACGAAAAGAACATTGTTGTAGAAGATAAGCTATATCAGTGAACGAATCTTATTGAAAACAATATCAAATGAAAAAGGATATCGAAGGAAAGAAATTCACACTCTTTAAGAGTACAGATACACAGTATCATAGTTCAATGTCTGCCGTGGTTTCTATACTAGTGATTTTGAATACCTGTGGTGGTTGTGAGCTCTCGCCGCTCGCCTACCAACTTCCACAATTGTTTCTTTCCTTGTTTTTTTTTTGGTGTCGCCTACTTCCACCATTTTATATTCAACCAATAAACTGTCACTCTCAATATGTTGTTTTTTGTTTTTTTTTTCTTTTTTCTTTTTTCTTTTTAAAATGTCAATCACTATTGGTTTGTACTTTAAACAGTTCTTATTTTATTTTCACTGTTACCAGAATCAGCAGATTAGACTAAGATCGAAACTACCAGATCCAGGATTAAACTAGTTTGGATTTTCAATAAATTGCTGACAAAAATTCGATAACATCTAGCTACATGGGACAAGGATGAACGAATAAACCGCTGACTAACTCGTTTTCAATTTTCTTATTTTAGTAATAATTATACATTTATTTTATTGCAAAACAACAAATCATTTTCTGCTCTAAATCATATTTAAAATCACGAGTCCATAATAATTTGAGTATTTTCATAGACTTTACATATTCAGGTGATCTATAGGTCGATTAAACATGGTTTAGTTTCATGATAGTTATGCTTAAAATTAGATTAAACATATGATTTAATCAATCAATCATGTTCAATAATTATTTTAATTTAAATTAACGTGATTCTAATTTCTATGATTTATTGTTTTTATAACAACATGTTGTTTATTTATTTATTCTATCATGCTTGAAAATTAAATCAATTTTCGAGTAAATTTTGATTTCCTTGTGAAGCTCATATTTATTCTGGATTTTTCTTTTGAATTTCAATTGTATGTTTTCCTAAAGTAGGATGGTAGTTTACCTCGTCCCAATAGACCTCATCCTTTCCTACTTTAATCAACGCGAAGATTACTCGAATTGATCAGAAAATGAGGCAGAGAGCTTTGTCCTGCATTGACTTTGAATGAGGATAAGACGAGGATGGTATGTGCCCATTACGTCTCGCTTTTTTCTTTAAAAATTACAATTATACCTAACATATATATAAATTTTAGGATTACAAGCTAATCTCCAATATAATGAGTAAGTTTTGATGGTTTTTAAAAAGTAAAGACATGTAAAGATTTGTATTTTTTAATTACATTTACGATATTTTTTTAATTTAATTAAGTATATTATTTATTTGATTAAAAACAATTTAACATATTATGAGTTTTATTGTAAACTTATAGTTGAATATGATGTTAGATGATTATTTTTTTCAATTGTATTTTTTATATGAACTATTATTTTTTTGTTATAATTTAAAATTTGATACAAGATGATATGAAGTAGAATGAAATGAAATGGACGTAAAGAACTAAACGGGACACTAATGCCCTGTGAAAATGAAGATGGTAACAGAAATACTACTCTATATGAGGCACCAAGCAAGGCTTTTCAGGAGCCATCTCCATCCTCACCCTAGTCTCGACCTATTGCCATTCTTATCCTTTAAGTTTCCAAATGCATGTCAAACCCCCTTCCGTCTACTTTTCTCGAACAAAAAATGTTTTTGTTTGTTCCCTCCAGTTAAAAGACAAAAGATGCCATGTTAGGCCCAAATCTACAATGAAAAGTTGCCAAAGAGAAATATCGGAGCTCGATTAGGAATTTAGGTCCTTTAAGGTCCAAAGTTCCAAGACCACTCACGTATAAGTATAATTAGATTTCATTAATTGGTTAGTTTTTTTTTTCATGAATTATTATAGAAACATTGATTAAAATTTTTAAAATATATTAATTGAAATTAGAAAAAAAATCATCATCATATTTTTACTAAAAAAGCATTTATTAATTTTTTTTCAATTTTTTTCTTCAATTTTTTGCATAAAACATTTATTGAAACAAAAAAAAAGAAAAGATTTATCAAGACTTTTTATTGTTACGAAAAAAAGAAAAAAAAAAGGAGATCAAAGAATGAGTATGGTTTGATTCTACAATTTATTCAATGCTGTCAGCCATGTCATTAATAAATGATCTATATTAAAAAAAATTGATTTAATATAAAAATCCAATTAATGCTTTCGGTATAAACTACATTAAAAATCATCAATCTATATAAAATCTGGTCTATAGAATAAGAATAGCCTTTGAAACTCACCAAGTTCCATCACAATTGATTACTTTTCTGAGGTTTGACTCTTGCAAGCAATTTCTTTCTCTGAAAAAAAGAAGAAAGAAATACAAGTACAGACTGTACAGCGCACCAAAAATTCTAGAACTGAATAACAAGCCCCTGTCAGGTAGGATATTTTATTTTTATTTTTTCTGAGAATCTGTCAGAAAGGATATTTAAATGTAATTTAAAAAATGAAGATATTTAATTTCGAGATCTTGTAACAAGAAAATATCCGGTACTTTACATTCTCTCAAACCAGTAACAAGAAACCATCACCAAAACCACCAGATTAAGCCTTCAGTATCTCGCACCGTTCGATTTCCCGTCAAACTTTTTAAGACGACATCACGACCACGAATGATATGATCTCGAGTAATGTCATAGTTGTATTTCGTGGAATAAATGAATTAGCGGAGCAACATTATTAGCGCCCTACCCATAAAATAAAATAACGGAAAATAAGTGCGTAAAGTAATTATCACTGTAATACTAAAAAAGAAATAAAAATAGAAATAATACCAGTAAGATAAAAAAAGAGAGGAAAAGGCAAAGAAAAAGAGCAAGTTAAAGTGGCTGTTTTGATCGCCATTTCCACATCTAATCTAGCCTACTAGATCATCAGATCCTGCGCCAACTGTGAGAAAAAATTAATTAGTTAATCATCGCCTCAAACAAGGTGCTCGTGTTTTCTTATAGCTCTGTATTTTTTTTTTTTTTTAATCTTCTCCTAAAATCTTGGTTTTGAATCATTTCGTTTTGTTTGGGGATTTTTGTGCAGTTTTTGATAGAAAGAAAGAAAGATAGAGAAGATGTTCGGGATTATAAGGCAAAAAGTGAGTGCCGGAGGTTCTCCACCTTTAGTATTTTTTTTTAATTATTATTGATTTTCTCCGTGTTTGTATTTTTTTTTATTTTTCGATTCATTTAATTTGTCGCTTATTCATTGGCTTTTTTTTTTTTGGGTCTAGGCTTTTGGGCAGATGATTCGCCCTGCGGTATCGGCTTGGAGAGGTTATTCAGCTGCAGCAAAACAGGTATATGCAAAGTCTTTTTTCATTTCATTTTAATTTATCATTTGTGTTACATATCAGGTGTATTTAGTGTTTTGCTGTTATAATTGGCTAAAAAATTTTAATGAATTGTTCACGATTCTTTTGTTTGGCTTTTCTTAATTTCTAGTCTTGTATGAGTTTTTTAATTCTTTTTTTCCCCCTTTGTTGGGGGTGTGGAGTTCCATTTTTGAATGTTGTTATTATCTCTTAGCTTAGTATGCTTCGTTTTCTGGAGTAGATAAAACTGAGATTTTGCATTTGGTGAATCGATAATTATGTGCAGATGACAGTTAGAGAAGCGCTAAACACTGCGCTCGATGAGGAAATGTCTGCTGATCCTAAGGTCTTTTTGATGGGTGAAGAGGTGAGAATAACTTCCAATTTTTAATGGAGTTTTTTATTTTTATTTTTCGTCTCCCTAGTTTCGATGTTTTCTCTTCTTCATGTGTTTTATGTTTATGTGTAAGTGCAGGTTGGTGAGTATCAGGGTGCATATAAGGTCAGACTTTCTTGTCAATGATATAAATTTGAGGTTTTCATGTTTTTTGATACACACACACAATATATATATATATAGATTGTTCTGTTGACAAGTCTGACAGTCCATTTGCATTGAATTTTTCATTTTCCATAGATATCCAAAGGACTTTTGGACAAGTATGGTCCTGAGAGAGTCCTTGATACACCAATCACAGAGGTTGGTTTTATTGCTGGACCTTATTGATGTGGAATTTGATGTTTTGTTTCTATTCTTTGGTGATGGTTGTTCGCTGACCCCCATCTGCTTTTCTTACATGTCTAATAGGCTGGTTTTACTGGCATTGGAGTTGGTGCTGCTTACCATGGTCTTAAGCCTGTTGTTGAGTTTATGACGTTCAACTTCTCTATGCAGGTTAGTAGGTTGCATATTGCATTTGATTTATACATTCCTTGTGTAAAGAAATTTTCAAATTCTATAGTTGCAAATAAATGTTTGGATGCTAGATTGTACATCAATTGAACATGTCTTACTGTGATTTTGATAAAGTATATTTCTGTGGCATTTCAGATCTCTTTTGGTGAAATTATATTTGTTTGGGATCTCAGATAGGATTGGCTGAAATCATCCTTAGTTGTTATCAATTTTGGCTTTTGATGCAGGCAATGGACCACATCATTAATTCGGCGGCAAAATCAAACTATATGTCTGCTGGGCAGATATCAGTGCCCATAGTTTTCAGAGGGCCAAATGGTGCTGCTGCTGGAGTTGGTGCCCAGCACTCTCAAGTATGTTTGCTGTGCTTTCTTATCTGTCAGTCATTTTGCAAGCCCTTTCTTTCCCTCTCCCTCTCCCTCCCCCTCTCTCATGTCTGTGTGTGAATGATGGTTTGTTAGTTTGATACTAGATTTTATGGCTCGGTGGCTGAAATCTTTGTTTTCATGTGGACATTGATGCTTTCTCAAGAGCATTCTGAAAGAAGCTGCATGTTTTTTGAATTTTCCATCTCATCATTTTTTTTTGTGGAATTGATCATATTAAATCTTTGAGAAGATGAGAGCATTGTTCTCTTGTTTTAGGAGAATCTTGGTTCAAACACAAGTAGTGATTTCTTCTGTTTCCTAGTATTCTATGATGGAAAAAGGGAAAAATTATTGTTGAAGATGTTGTTTAACAAGTTCTATACATGTGTGTGTGTGTGTTTTTGTGCGTGAGCAATTTCATTTTTCTCTCCTCTTTCTCTCAATTTATTTGGAAGTCGAATGGCGTGAGTTGACCGTACTCAACAAAGAGCGGATTCTGCCACTGCTTGAGTTACAGTATACTAAGCACTCATTTCTTACAAAATAAATTTTTTATGTTATTTGCCAAATTGTGAGAAGATACTATGTTCCTGTCCAGAGTTGTGATTGTAACTCAGATTTTTAATGGCTAAATGCTTGATGACACTCTTTTGTAGTGTTATGCTGCGTGGTATGCCTCCTGCCCTGGTTTGAAAGTGTTGGCTCCTTACTCATCTGAAGATGCTCGTGGTCTGCTAAAGGCTGCCATAAGGGACCCTGATCCTGTTGTTTTCCTTGAAAATGAGTTATTGTAAGCATCTTGACAAGTGGTTATTATTACATTTCCCTATGTTTACATGATGCTTGATGTCCCAAGTTGATGAATCTTTTTTGATTCAGATATGGTGAGGTGTTCCCTATTTCTGCTGAAGTACTCGACTCCAGTTTTTGCCTTCCAATAGGGAAAGCCAAGGTATCCTGCCCTGAAGTCTTAAAGATTGCTCCTATCAATGTTTCTGCAGTTAGCTAACTTTTTTTTTGTGCCTCTTCAATGATTACTGCTGCAATTACATCTGCCCTTCAAATTGTTTACTTTCAACAGATTGAGAGAGAAGGGAAGGATGTGACCATTACAGCCTTTTCAAAAATGGTTGGCTATGCTCTCAAGGTTTGTTCTGTGCTTCAAATGTTCAAAAGCAAATATGTTGGTTTGCATCTGGTGCTATAAATTCAGATTTAGCTGGTAGGTGCACTAGAAGATTTTATTGTAAATCTGAAGTTGACTGTTCTTGGGAAACTTTTTTTGAGTGGCACAAAATTAGTATTGCGTGAGGCAAATGGTCGACTGCTGAGCTAAGTTGCTGCAGTTTCAGCAAGTAGGTCCCAAAAAATTGATGGACTTGAATTTAGGTGCAGGAGTTATTTCGTCTCATTGATTTAATATTTGTGATACCATTACCTACCAGGAGGAAATAGGTCCCAAAAAATTAATGTTATCATGTGACATTGCATTATTACTTTGCTGAGTGTCTCTATTGGGACGCATCCCTGATTGATCTTATGGAACATATTTTGTAGTACATTTGGAATATGTTTAACACTGATACGAAGCTATTTGTTTGGGGAATTTCTTGTGCCATTTTCTTAATATATAGCACATGCTGTGGACAATTTTTTCCCCTTCCGCATGTAAATCACACAGTTGTTTGTTTCACAGGCTGCTGAGATACTTGCAAAGGAAGGAATCAGTGCTGAGGTAAACCGACACTAGGAGACTGTAAAGCCCATATAGGTTATAGCACTTTCAGGTCTGATGACAAAAATAACTGATCTTGTTAACGCAGGTGATAAATTTGCGCTCAATCAGGCCACTAGATAGACATGCAATCAATGCTTCAGTCAGGAAAACTAACAGACTGGTCACAGTTGAAGAAGGGTTTCCTCAGCACGGCGTTGGTGCTGAAATCTGGTTCATATTCTTTCCACTAATATATTTAATCTCTCATGCTAAATTATTCCCACATATGCTTACACAAATCTGTTTTTTCCTGATCAGTGCATCTGTTGTTGAAGAGAGCTTTGGTTATCTTGATGCCCCAGTTGAGAGAATTTGTGGAGCTGATGTTCCCATGCCTTATGCAGCTAATCTAGAGAGAATTGCTCTGCCACAGGTATGCTGTTTCTTATATATATCGATTCTTTTAGTTTGATCATTTTCTGGTGTGTGCCAGAGATGTGCTTGCCACCTTTGATGTTTAAATCTCTTAGCTGTGTCCACTGGACTACCAGAACCAATTGGTTAGCTAGCGCCCTTCAACTTATCATAAAACTGAATCCATATAAACATTTTATTAATTAAATTAGACACATCCCCTTTACTACTTTCCTCACAACAGTAGCTTTTCCCCCGTGAATACTTTTTCTCCAAGTACTGTTTTCCAAAGCTGCAGCAAAATCCGAAGAGGGATTCCAAATGATCCCTTCTCTGTGTTCACTCTATAGTCAGTCCGTGTATGTGGTAATTATTTTGAGCTGTAGTTTTATGCAACATGAGCTTGTCCACTAAATATGTCTGTCTGTTTCCTTTTCCTTTTTTTTTTCTTTTTTCTTTTTCCTTGGCTAAAGCTTCTTATATTTTGACTTATTTGCATAATGGATATTTCAATCGTGCTGCATGTTTTTGTTATTTATCTTTTGGTTCATGACATGTGCAGGTTGAAGATATTGTTCGTGCATCAAAGAGAGCTTGCTACCGATCTGTGCCAATGGCTGCAACTGCTTGATGGGGTATGCTCATTAAACTCCAGAAACCATCTTAAATTGAGGTTAGTCTACTGCTGACTGCCTGACTCTGTGCTCATTATTGGTTAGTTTTTTTTATTAGTTTGCATAAAATCACTTTTATTTTGTTATTCTCATAATGACAAAGAATGATGCTTTTCAGGAATCTGAGAAGTTGTAAATTTTCCCCGTTCTTATTGCCACTGGGGAGGAACAGCTCATTGAATAACATGGAGTATGTTGATGACAGCGGGAATTTTTGTCTGTTTTTTGAAATTTGGTAACCCACATGAACCCATTTCACACATAAGCCAAGAATTAAATTTGCTTGTGGATTTTTATAGAGTGCATTCTTCTTCGAAAGGTCCTCTATGTTTTCAAGTTATCTTCATATGATCAATTCGATTCCCTTTTCATTAAAAGTTGATGAATTACATGCTCTTTTTGACATCATCTTGAAGTTTTAGAATCCATCAATACATCGGTATAAGAAATTAATGTGCTCTGGGTGTTACTCGAGTATATAATGCGATTTGAACGCATTTAAGAAGTTTCTTATGCTTTTCTGTTTAGCATTGTTAGAAATACAAAGATAGCAGTCTCTCCGTGGTGATTAATACCTGCTCTCTTTTGGTTTTGGATGCCAATGCTGAGTGATTTAACCAGTTACAGCCTGCACTCAACCTATATATTCAAGATATTTCATTCTTTGGAATTTAACCCCACCAGAGTCATTCCTATTTCTAGATATCAATCAATTTTGCTGTTTCTTTTTTGTACTTAAAAAAATGTTGTGAGAAAGTGGGTTCGTTAGTTGCTTGACTTCTTGGTTCTAGAACTTCCCATGTGTTTTTAGCATGAAAACTAGCCGTTTACCCTATGCTGCCGGTTGGGCAAAATAAAATTATTTTCAAATTTTCAAATTTTTTTAATATGTTTCTCATTAATTTTCAACTTAAAAAGAAACATGATTTTTTTTTGTGCATTGATTCTTAAATAATTTGTAATAATTTAAACGAAATATATATCAAGAATTAAAAAATATATTTTTCATTGGAATGTATTCAAAAATAAAGTTGAATCTTGATCATCAACCACATCATCTCCAGAACTATCATGTTTTACTATTGCTGATGGTGGATTGTCGTTAAAAGTTTCACAATTTTCATCTTCAACATTAATGCCACTGACAAATTCCATGATAGCAAGAATTGTGGGTCTACGGCAGCAAAATCACAATGTAGCCAGGCTCACCGTGACCTAAAATAATAATTTATGCGAAAGTCGGTCAGTTCCCTACAGACTACAAAGGTAACAAGGGCAGGCGACTAGCACAGAAAATTGGCCACCTGCATGTCGATGTTTTTGTATAAAGGAGAGTTCTGATCATAGATGACTATCTGAGCTTTCACAAAACTATCCATAGTATCCATTAGTTCAGTATCCTCCGTCCTAGCTTGAACAGCATCACCAGGGAGTGATCCAGCAATACGACTAAAACTGGGATGCTTGAATGATGAGTATTCAAATGAAAGTGAATTTTGGGAACTTAGATAATCAGAGTCGACCAAATTTTCTGGTGCCTCATAGAACTTGTCTTCTCCTTCACTTGGAGTCGAATTATTGTTGTCAAAAGTTCGATTCCCAGTATCATCAAAGGATGAGTATGCATCTGAACTTTGGACAAATGATGTTGCAAGGAAACAAGGCTGAGAAACACCATTGCAGCAAACTAAATCTTCAATCTCTAGAGATTTGAGAACAGTGCCGATGAACATATCATTCTCTCTGATTGAAAGTTCAACCTGTGTTCACAAATATAAATCCTCAAAGGAGAGGAGCATAAACATCTATAAATACAATTATCACTCGGCATTATTTGTACCTGGCCACCTATTGCTCGAAATTCAAACAAGCGATTCTCTTTAGCAAGAAGCACATTAACAGAACTCTGGTCACGCTAATAAAGTAGCACATTTATCAGATTTCTTAGCAATTCCATTACAAGGAATATCATGACATAACTAATCCAGGCTTACCTGATGATTGTAATTGAAGCAGATCTTTAGCTCATCAAGAGCACCCGTAATAAATAAGCGCTCCATCTTCAATATATTACTTGCATCAGTATTGTCATTACGTTCTGTTTCTGAGTCCTCTGGATCAGACGAAGTTTCAGAAAGAGTAGTAATAGGATCAGGGCCCTGCGCAGAAATCAATTGGTAAGAATCCTTTTCACTGCTCCACATAAGCATATATCTGATAAGCAAAAGTTAACGGTGCAGTAGACAAAAGAACACGGAGACGGATTAACCTCTAAGGCCAAAAGTAGCCAGAAAAGGTCAGTGAAACGAACTGTTGGAGCTTATAAAGAAAGGGAAGCAAACATTTAAGGTTCATAAATACAAACACAAGTCCAAATCAATTTAGTCATCTTCCATGCAGTTTCTGAAGAATTTGATGATGCTAAGCTATACTTTCGGCTATGCACCAGACTTAAGTTTGGTAAATATTTCGGGGGAACTTAAACGGTTCAGGTTTGAAGTTCCGTGGCATTGATGCATTCCCCAAAAATTAAGATTGTAAACGTTATACTCAACATCAAAGTCCTCACTGTGATCTTCAATAATTAGACAAAGTGTAATGATTGCCAACACATTACTTTTATGTTCATTATTTTAGGTGAAACCATACAAACACCCACTGTGATTAGACTAGTTTATACCGTCCAAATCAACAAAACTGGAAAGTTAAAACAATAAGAACAAACTGGATGCAAACAAATTAAAGAGAATGAAAATCAATGCTAAATATGAGAACATACTTACGAAAAATATAATACCTCTCTTAAGGAAAATCAACTACCTTTACCAAAACTAAGAACCAATTACTTCTTCACAAATCTCTAATAATTCATCTTCCGTCCAAAAAAAATTAAAAATAGTAGGAGGTGGCAAAAACCCCATATGAACTGCTTAAGAGGGGGGGAACTAGTCAGCTTCCGACCATCCTACTGCTTAAGAATATTGAGTTGGACCAGTTTTAAGGTCACAAGGGATCCTTCAATATAAATATTTTAAAAAACAAATAAATAAATAGCCAAGATCAAGTGTGACGGATTGAGCTAAATTAAGGATTTTACTGAGGCACGATATATGGCCCCCTGCAAGCGACTTTGCCAATTTCTCTGTGAATCATCAGAATCACATCGTAGTATCAGTGCATTCGCATCTTCCACAACCTACAGACAAGTTATGACAAGATTAAAATTTCATCAAGAATTACTTCCAAGTGCAAAAAAGGCAATGCAGCTTTATTGTAAGGTCATTAAATTATGAAGACATAAGAACAACCTTGTTCAGGGGACGTGGAGCATCACAAAATAGCCAAGACATGGTCCGCACCACCAAGCAACTCTGCTGGAAGTTGATACAGCTGCTTTCCACGTAAGCTACAACAGGCATAGTATCTAAAATTAACAAAGAGAACACATCCCAAGAAAATAAATGATAAACTTATTAACACTTTTCACCCACAACATATATCCCCCAAACTAAAGTTGTGTGCCATATAATACTTATTTTATCTTCATCGTCTTTGTTGGTGAGTTAATATAAAATTATTTTTGAGCTTCATCTAATCGCTTATACCATCCTTATTCTCTTCAAATTAAAAATTAAATCAACACCAAGTAATAGTGAAGTTGAGTCTGAATGAGCAGTAACGATGCTTAATCCTTTAGTTTTGTTTTGTAATGTACAATGAACGAATAGCGTAAGCAAGCAGAGTGTGTGCACAGTGTTTTCTTTTTTGGTTCTAATATATTTAGTGATAGCCCCGAAAGGCGAAAAAACAAATCTGGTGCACTCCTTGTTGTTTGCTTATTACTTTTCATTTGCATATTTGTGGTAAATTAGGCCGTGTTGGCAAATAAAGCAATTTGTCGTTTATGGGTAACTCTTTTTATGCGAGTTAATGGCATGAAACGTCTTCTATTCTTTTAATTTTCTTCAAATAATATCTTTAATTTTTCTATTCGATCCCTTTTTGTATTTTGTTGTATTTTTTTTTGGTGGTATTTCTAATTGTTTTCTTGTTAATATTTTTATCAGAACTGATACCTGACATAAAACAAATACCACGTGGCATGACACTTCAGGATTTATTTGCTATGTGGGAAATAAAAAACCCAAAAAAAAAAAAAAAATCTGCATCTATAACAATCCAAAAGAGGCCAAATAAGTTAGAAAAAAAACCCAAATATCATAAAACCTGTTTAAAATTAATATAGAATTTACTAGTTTGTTACGCTGCGAGCAAGACATTGAAAAATACAACATGAGTTGTGTTATCAATTGACTAAGAAGAAAGTGGCACATAAATAGCTTAGAGTATTGTTGGAAAAATAACAAAAAAAAAAAAAAAAGTTCCATTGAAAAATACAACATGAGTTGTGTTATCAATTGACTAAGAAGAAAGTGGCACATAAATTGCTTAGAGTATTGTTGGGGAAAAAAAAAGTGCTCATTTAATATATTGATGTATGAAACACATAAAACATTTTGTCCTAAATTCAGAGTTGCTTATGATAGGCATGGCAACTCTTACACCCCATCCACACTCCAATTTGCAATCTGTTATTGAGTTCAAGCATGAGAAATTTTCTTCTTTCAATATGTTTTAGAATGTTACAGCAAATCATAAATAAATTTGTTTAAAGGCTACATGTTTTTTTTTTTTTGTACCCTTTCTCATGAAATGAATTTTAAGAGGTTGCAACATTAAAAATGCATATCATAATTAAAAATAAAGATAAAATAAAAAATCATATCATGATTCAACACATGCTTTATTATGAGGAATAAATTTTTTTTTGTGCACCATAAATTGAACTCACATGATAAAAATAGATCTTTGTTTTAGGATATAAAATTTATCAAAGTAAATTCTAGCTAGCACTGTTGTTGAGAAAGCCTGTAAACTACTCCATAATTTAAATTTAATGAATAATTAGAATCAATGTAATGCAAAACTTTTACCATTATAAATAAATAGTTTAATGAATTCAGCACTAACTCTCCTCCATTTTTTTATTCAAATAGGATTGTAAAGAGCAAATCATCTCTTGTCACCTCAAAACAAATCTACAATAAGACAATTGTGTAATAATAATAATAATAGTAATAATAATAATAACAATGCATAACGATACTCTAACTTCTAATTTTTCAACCATGTGGTTGAATGAATTACCATAATTGTACATTAGCTGAACAAATTATCAAGATAAAGGAGAAATAATAAGTACACAACAACATTCGAGAAAAATTCACTCCATGAATCGTACTTAAAATTCAGATTCTATTAGTACATGACAATAATTTCAATTAAGTCATCAACATATCAAAAATTTTAAATATTATCAATTCTACTAATCTTAACTCCGAGTCTAGAAATAGGTCAAAAGTATAATATTCACGGAATATTATAGCACTTTTAAATTCGCTAAATCAATTAAACACCCTCCCTTTAGTGATAAATGCTATTTTATAAGTTCAAAAAGTTCTCGTGTCATAATTCACGAATACTTAAGATCGTATGACTAGGGATGGCAATCTAACCCGCCCCACCCCGCCCCGTTTAGGGCAAGGATGGGGTGTGAAATTTTGCCCCGAACAGGGCATGGGTTTTTTTTTTTGGGCGGGGCGGGGATGGGGATGGCAATCCCCGCCCCACTCCGCATTTTTACCTTTAAAAAAGGTAATTTGGGGGGACCCGTCCCGCCTTGATTGGGGTGGGGATGGGGAGAGAAATTTCACCCCGAACGGGGCACGAGGCGGGGATGGGTTTTTTTTAGGGGACGGGATGGGGATCACCCCGCCCCGCCCCATTGCCATCGCCATCCCTATATATGATTCATATCCATTACTATAAGCATGTTGTATAACAAAAAAAGAAAAAAAAAGAACTTAGTTCCTAATTGTCAAGCAACCAAACATCTTTCTCTTCAAGTAAAATGCTATTAATCATGGCAAAAATGGTTGGATCATTAAAAAAAAAAAAACAAACGAAACAAAAACAAAGAAATAGGACATCACACCAATAATGATGATTCTAATTAGAAAAGAAATTGCAAAAATCAACATGATAGTTAATTTAAAAATAAGGTAAATATTTATTTGGTTTGGACAAAGGATTTAATGAGAATCAAGTGCAAAAAACTTGAATAGACAGTAGAAAGTATCATTTAAAGCCTTTATTTCAAATATTTTACATTCAAAAGCTAGTTTTGTACATTGACTTCAACATCCATCAAGCACATAATTAATTAAATAGAACAAATATATAGGTTAAGAAAACCAACTTACAATGAAGATTGTAAGTATTATTGTTATACTTGTTGTAATTACTATTGGAATTTATCTTACGTGTAAGAATTCCAAATTCGGCACCATTATTAGTTTGTTATAATCGGATCTAATTAAAAGTCAGTTTAAAATAGAATCAAATGCCTAGTCCACTTAGGAAAAAAGAATAAATGTAAATTAAAGCATGGAGAGAAAAAACAAAATCATAGTCTTAAACTAAGTAATCATATAATAAATAAGTTAAAGAACAAACCTAGAAGTAGCCATGTAAACCAATAGATTTTTCATCTTCGTAGAAAGTTTAAGGTAGCCAATCAAGTTCATGTCGCTATCATCACATTAAAGCCATTTAAGAATCTGCAATAACCGAGATAATAACCATAACAAAAAAGACTTAGTCCGGAATCAAATTGTATAATTTTGACAACCTCGATCAACAAGCACTAACCAATGAATTGACAAATATTGCCATATAAAAACTCCATCTACCAAACAATATTTATTGCAAATATTTTTCTACTTTTTTCCTTCTAAACTAAAACAACTAAGTGGAATGAAGGCAAGTTATTGATTTAATTTTACAACAATGAGGTTTTTATGAGTATTAGGTGGTAAAATATCGTGACAAATTATTTCAACAACACTTCACATTTTTAATAACTTAACCAATTAATAATCGTCTTCAACAAACAATATAGTTTGGATAAACTTCCTACCATTATCCTAATCTCAAGCCAAAATTCATCAGCCTCACCTATTTGTGAAACTCTTATTTTGGTCATAATTAACACATCGAATTAACATTAAAAGCATTTCCATTGAACTACCACCAAGTATATATGAATAAATAATCGAAACCAAAGCAAAGGATGTATGCATGTAAGTTTACGGTAGGAAGTGCATGAAAGAGGTATTAATTTTAATCTTAATTTAAATTTAACAAAAAAAAAATTGAAACTAATATAATATCACTAATTTCTCAAAAGAAAGCAAAAACACTAACCAACGAACAAAACTTACCTTTTTCTTCACCTTTTCCTTGTTCTCTTCAAAGAGTTTCCTTTTTTTTTTAATAAACTTGTTTAACAATCATTACAAATTCCAAATCTAACCTAATGAGAAAATCTAAAATGAAATTAGCAAGATAATCCAATCACATCAATTATATAGAAAAAAATAATCGATACATCTAATCTCATTTATTATTCATCTAATTGCCATTTTTTTTGAAAATTTGACAAAAGAATCTCAAAATGCGGATAAAAAAGGAAGATCGAAGTAGAGAGGAGTCCCAAAAACTCACATCAAATAACTAAGTAGTTAAGAGAGGTAGCCTTTTATACATGGTTGATTAGCCATTCCATATGTTGTCTCCGAAAACCTCTTATCCGATAAAATGAGGCTCTAGAAAGTGCTCATGATAGCTGCCATTGCCACTCAAAAGCGATAGACCCTAAAAATCTCACCATCCGAGACAAAAATCCATTAGTTAATAAGTGTATCAAGCTTCGAATAGAACCATAACAATAAAAGGCCAATCTCACAAAAAAAAAAAGGTGAAAGATATGACCTAAAATAAATTTTCTCACCACCCATAGTAAAAAAGAAAATATATCAATTGAAAACCCTAAATCAAAATAAAACATAATCGACTGGAAATAAAAAAAATAAAAGAGAGAAAAAAAACCTAACAAAGAAGAAAAGTATTATGGCCAAGCTCAATCCAAACAAAACAAAATTTAAAAACTAACCGTACATCAAGTAAATAAAACAATCAAAATAAAAAATAAATTCTAAATTTTGAGAAAAAGAAACAAATTAAATAAATTAAAAAAAGTAAAAAGAGGTCAAACTCAACTTACTAGAAGGAAAAAGAACACTTATTTGGTCACGAACCAACTAGATCTAGGCAAAAAACCCTTAATGTAGTACAATAATGACCCAAAACAATGGTATTTTTGCATGATACAATAAAGAAAAAGATTTAAATTCGAAAGCAATAGCATAATATTCACACATCTATCAAAAGAAAACAAAAACACTACCAAACAATAACACTCACATTCTTTGCCATCTTGTTCACCTTTTTCTTTGCA